CATAGTGAGACTCTATCTCAAAAAATAAAGAAAGAAAAGAAATAAGCAGACTAGGGCAGTGACATTTGTAAAATAAAAAAAAAAATTCCAACTGAAAACAAATTGAATTCTTTAGAGCAAAAGGTGATGTAGCTCATAGCTCAGAAATGATTTCATTCTTCCTGTAGTCTTTCAGAGAAGAGAGAGGCCACCCATTCATTAAACATTAGAAAAGCTTTTATAATATAGTCTTGCCTCTTAAACAGTATGTACTATTTCATATGGGTTAAATTAATTATGTAATCCGAAATTTTTATTGAGTTTATTCATTAAAATGCACATATAAATTGGAAGAATCTAAAATGTTCTGTGCCCCAGGGAGGGATATTTCCTTTGACAGTCCTTCTTTACTTTTTCCCTATAATCAACACCCTCACTTTGATCAGAAGACGTTCTCCAAGTATATCTTTAACTTCACAGCTTTCCACAATAACAATCAATAACATTTAAAATTCCCCTTACAGAATCAGTGACGTTTCCTTAAGGAATTTCTCTTTTCCATTGTTTTAAACAAGAAATTTGTGATGGTGATATCGTGTACCAGATACTGTCATGTATGACAACATTGAAGAAATAGGAAGAATAAAAAATTAAAAAATCAGAGTTGAGAGATTCAGCTAATTCAACCCCCTGTAAATAGAAGGTTCTATGATTTTCTCTCTTCTCTGTCTGTTTTTAATGATTATTCAATCTAGGCTTGGATACCTCTAAGGAAAATTTGACACCTTGGTAGTTTAACTCACTATTAGAAAATTTTAGCTTATAAATTAAAATTTAAGCCAAAGTCTGTCTCCTCATAACTTCTGTCCACTAAGCATATCTTACCTCTGGAGAAAATATTTAATAAATTAACTTTTACTATATATGACAGTTTTTCAAACACTTCTAAGTAATGATCTAGTCTTTAGGTTTCTTGAATCCTTGTTATTTTGCAAATTCTTTTATGAATCATCATAGTCTATGAACATACACACAGAGACAAAAAGAGGAGAATAGAAATTCTCTATCTGTGGTCTGAGCAATGACTCACACAAAAAAGAGAGTATGCAAAGTTATTTCAAATTGATTTGAGTGTGGCATTTCATTCCTGTGAAGTCTTGGGTTGGTGACTTGTACACTTCAGTCAAGTGGAATTAGCCTGGGTGATTGTAAAATCTCCCTCGCTGCTACAGTGTCTCCTCAAAGGTTCAGAGATGCATGAAAATGTCCAGTCAGCTCTCCAAAGGGCCTCATCTAAACTCCTTTCTCGCTGATTTTACTTGATGGTAGTTGTTTGATTTTACGGCCTTCCTGGCCCGAGGCTGACAGCTGTAGGCGATAGGTGGGAACAGAGAGGACCAAGGGGAAACAGAAAGAGCATCCTCGGGAAGAGAAAACTGATTTATCCTTTTCCTTCAGTGTCAAGTCAGTGGGAGTAGCCAGAGGCAACCTGCTTTTTTATTTGTTTAATTAGCTAATGTGTGTCCTACCATTTAAAGGGACGTCGCTTTTCTTTCTTTCTTTATTTTTTTAAAGCATTTGGTAGAATAAGAATTGAATTAGAAAAAATGGAAGAGCATGTCATGAACCTGAATGATCTTGATATAACCTTCCAGGAACCTCCCCAGCTCCTCATTGACAGGTTCAAACTAGGAAAAACCGAACCAAAAGTGTGTTAGGTGGGGTGAAGGTCGTGTGCCAGCAGAGATATAATGTAAACAAAAGATTCTAAGTAAAACATTTTCCTTGATTATCTTTACAATGTAGAAAAGGGGCAGGTACAGGCATGGCGTCTATAGCTCAGTGGCTGGGGCACTGGCCACAGGCACCGGAGCTGGTGGGTTCAAATCCAGCTCCGGCCTGCCAAACAACAATGACAACTACAACCAAAAAATAAAAGAAGCCAGGTGTTATGGCAGGTGCCTGTAGTCCCAGCTGGCTGGGAGGCTGAGGCAAAAGAATCATTTGAATCTGGGAGTTTGAGATTACTGTGAGCTGTGATGCCACAGCACTCTACCGAGGGTAACAGAGTAAGACTCTGTCTCAAAAAAAAAAAAAAAAAAAAAAAAAAAAAGAGAGAGAGAGAGACAGGTACAAATATTAAAAAATATACACAATCACAGTATCTTCTTTAAACATCTCCAAAGAAAGAATTCTAGAGTCTTACTGAATAACTATTCTGCCTAATTTTAATTTTTAACTAAAAATTTCAAGTACCTGCATAAGGCCAGAAAGCATTTTGCCAAAAGTTTAGCAAAACAGCAGCTTGTAAGATGTGTTCTTTGGTTCCAAGTGTTTCCCACCGACGTTATGTTAAGCTTATCTGTCCTAAGATAAGCAATTGCAAATTCATAACACTAATGACATCTGGCTCACATACACTTGTTTGCAAATTAGATATCGATTCCCTTTTCTTTGTTGCCCTGTTACCACATTTTACAATTATTCTATTTTTAAGAGAGATATTTGTATATACTGAGCATTTACTGTGGTTGGTTGGAAGCTTTATTCTGGGCTTTCAGAGCTGGAGAGAAAGTAAGCTATGTTTTTCCTGGACTCAACCTTATTTTCTATAACATACAATAGATGAACAGATGTGAGCACATATCTTGGAAACTATTCACGTTCCCTTTCAACAGCAATTATAGAACATATGTTTAAGTAGTGAGTACCCAGAAAGCTAGAAGTAGGATTGTGTTCATCCACTGCTGCCGGGGAGAAACCACGTTCTTTATTTCTGCAGAATTTGGCACACATTTCAGCACAGGAGCTGCTTCATAAATGTTGCTTAAACAATAGACAAAAAGATGAGAACTACAATCAAAGATAGCCCTTAAGTTTCTCAGTATTATCTTACCCCGTAAGCATACACTCCCAAAGGAGCTTCGAGGTGGATTGGGGATTCAATATGCTTCTTTTACTGAGTCCAGAGGATTTAGTGTCTTATCAAAAAGAATCAAGCAACTAGCATAGGCAGGATTAGAACCTAGGTCTCTGAACTCTTAGCCGAGTTATGAAGAAATAAGCAAAGTCAGTCCTAGGTACGGAATGGAAAGTTGATGAATTTTATTTTCAGTGCCTTCTCACCTCCTCACGTGCTACCCTGGCTTGTGGACCTTCCATGCTGCTTCAACCCAGATTCTCAGACCTCCCATTGTGATGACTCCTCAAGATCTACTACCATCCAAGCAGCCAGCCCACTGCTGTACCCTCAGTACTACCACCCTCTCTCAACGTATTATTATACTGAGTTGGCAATGATACTGAAAGGGAAATGATCTGACACATTAAGTAAGAAGGAATCGACAGTTAAATTACTTTCATGCAATGGTCAGTTCCTTAACCCCAAGGAAAAGACTAATCATGAAGCATTTTCAGGTGTTGGGTTCAGCTGCAGAAGAGGGACCAGGAAGATGAGAGGGCCTTATTCAGGGGTGTCCAACCTACGGCCAATGGACAATGTGCAGATTATTTGAGGACTGGTCTGCTTCTCTTGGATATTGCAGAAAGTGTGTATAGATGGACCTTTGCTTGTGCTGGTCAGCTTTCACAAACAAATGTTTGTGTATTTAATAGGTAGCACGAGACAACTCTTATTTTTCCGATGTGTGGCAGAAAGAAAAATGGTTAGACTCGCCTGCCTTACATAATACCACAGAGGTATTTGTGTAATATATGCAATGAAGATCAAGGTGTATTTTTTTTTATATTCTTGAGCATCTTAAAAAAGATCTGAATTCGAATCCTGCTGCTGCTACAATTTTTAAAACCCCTCTGGGCATCTTTTGCCTTATATATGAAATAAGTGAATAATACTTACCAGTGACCTCCAGCTGAAGACTTTGGAATATAGCTGGAGTTTAAATACTTTGTTACCCATCACTGGGAGGAAGAACACACACCAGGACAATCCAGAAAGACAGTCTTAGACAACAGAGGTTAACTCTGGATAACCTGTTGTCTGGAAGGGATAGTCATCCTGTGATTTTGAATTTTTAAAAATCTATTCAGGGTGGCACCTGTGGCTCAAAGGAGTAGGGCTCCGGCCCCATATACCAGAGGTGGTGGGTTCAAACCTGGCCCCAGCAAAAAACTACCAAAAAAAAAAAATCTACTTAGATTAGACTGAAGCCACAGCTTTCCAGTAGTCCCCCATTGCTCATGGCTTTGCTTTCCACGGCTTCTGTTACCTGTGGTCACCTGCAGTTCAAAAACATTAAATAGAAAATTCCAGAAATGGACAATTCGTAAGTTTTAAGTCACATACCATTCTTAGTAGCACAAGGAAATCTCATGACGTCTGGCTCCATCCCATTAGTCACTTAGTAGCCATCTGTTATCGGATCAAGAAATAACCCCATACAGTGTACAGAAAATTTGATATTGTGTGTAGTTTCAGGGATCCACAGAGAGTCCTGAATGTATGCCCTGAAGCTCAAAAGATAGTGCTATCCTTCCTGAAGAAACAGTGGTCACTCCTGTTAGTCAGAAGCCAGAATATTCAGTATTCTGTGGTTTGCACAGTGCTTTGTTTTTGTCTGTGTTGACACAAAATAATGAAGTGGCCTTGCTTGTCTCACTTTGACACTGTCTCAGAGTGACCTTCTCTGAGGCCGGGGCTCTGCCAGATTGCTTCTGTCTGACAGGATAACATGGCCTCGTTGTGAGCACCAGGCCTGCTTCAAACAACGTGATAAACTTCGGGGGTCACCTAAGGTCTCAGATGTCAGGGGCTGTTCAAGAGAAAACAGAAATAAAAAGAAATCTTGCGTTTAAAATGTTTGTGTTTTACATTGCTTATTTTTTTGAAAAGAAAATGAAGAAATCTTTGTAATGAAATACGATAAGAACAAAACATCTTCCTCCTGTGATGTGGAGGAGAGGTGCCACTTGGCGGCCATGGCAGCTGTAGTATCGGTGACTGTGGGTCAAGGCCTGATGGAGAGGATTGTCATGGGCACCACGGGGTGTAGGGCAGAGACAGCTTTGTATCAGCTTTGCTGCAGAACCTCTAGGATCCATCGTGAAAGGCCTGTAGGACTCCCTGTTCCTTCCTAGACTAGGAGGGGAATTTGCTGGGACTGGTGGGCTGGTCCTTGCCCTGGGGGCGTGGATCACCTCTCAGAGACAGGGGTGGGAGAGAATTTATGAGTTCACTTAGGATTTCCTCCTCCTCCTCTGCTGCCTGAGATATCCTGCTGTCCTCATTAAACAATTGAAGAAACTGCTCATTCGCACATTGTCCCCATTGACTTTTCCCATCTCTGTTAACCCACGAGAATCCAGTGACTGGCATTTGAGACCCTGGGGCTGGGACCTGAGATAGCTGAAAGTTTTCTCCGGTGCTCATATCAGCCGGAAGGGGCCGTTCCTAGGTACGTTGGAGAGAAGGGGCCTCGTGAACAAACCTGCTGTGGGGAGGCTGGAAGAATCGGAGAGCCACTTGTTCTCTTGGAACTACCGCACGTGTTTAGAGAATGGAAGCACCTTTTGAAGTCACTGGATATTTGTAGTCTGGTGGTGGGTGAATAAAGGAGGTCAGAATGGATGATTTCATCTCCATTAGTCTGCTGTCTCTGGCTTTGCTGGTGGAATGTTACGTGGCTGGAATCATTCCCTTGGCTTAATTTCTCAGAGGAGCGACTGAAGCTGGTGACTGTCTTGGGTGCTGGCCTTGCCTGTGGAACTGCACTGCCAGTCATTGTGCCTGAAGGAGTACACGCCCTTTATGAGGATATTCTTGAAGGAAAGCATCATCAAGCAAGTGAAACACAGAACGTGACTGCCTCAGACAAAGCGGCAGAAATATCAGCTGTCCATGAACATGAGCACAGCCACAGACACACACACCTGCACCCCTGCATTGGGGTTTCCCTGGTACTGGGCTTCGTGTTCATGTTGCAGATCGGCAGTTCCCACGTGCGTTCTGCTGAGGATCCAGAAGCAGCAAGATGGAGCAGTTCCCAAATCACCCCCACACTGGGGCTGGCTGTCCACGCTGCGGCTGATGGTGTTGCCTTGGGAGCAGCAGCTTCTACTTCACAGACTAGTGTGCAGTTAATTGTGTTTGTGGCAATAATGCTACATAAGGCACCAGCTGCTTTGGGACTGGGTTCCTTCTTAATGCATGCCGGCCTAGAGCGGAATCGAATCAGAAAGCACTTGCTGGTCTTGGTGCTGGCAGCACCAGTTATATCCATGATGACATACTTGGGACTAAGTAAGAGCAGTAAAGAAGCCCTCTCAGGGGTGAATGCCACTGGAGTGGCCATGCTCTTCTCTGCTGGGACATTTCTTTATGTTGTTACAGTACACGTCCTCCCCAAGGTGGGAGGAATGGGGCACAGCCACCAGCCTGACACCACTGGAGGGAGAGGCCTCAGCCGCCTGGAGGAGGCGGCTCTGGTTCTGGGTTGCCTCATCCCACTCATCCTGTCGCTGGGAAACCAGTATTAAAATGTTCAGGTTCCAGCCTCAGTCTGTGGCCGTTTGCCATCCGGTGAGGCTAGCCGGCAGCCTGGATGTGACACTCCTCACTTCTCAGTCTCTTGTCCCGTCTTGCCCATCCCCACCTGCATTCCTGGAGTCCAGAGGGGGCTGAGATTAAAACCTGGAACGATGGAAAAGCTTTTAGAGTAGAAACAATACATTGCAATTAGCTACAGACATTCCATTGTGTTGTCTTTTAAAGGGCCCTTGGCATTATGAGTTTTGATGATGGAATTCGGTTTTAAAGAAAAGTGGAGAACTTCATACTCCCAATGAAATAGTAATTATGAAAATACAGTGTTCTGTAATTAAGTTAAGTCTCTTCAGTTTAGAGGTTCTGCCACTTCCATCCATTGAGGTTTAACGTGGTTCTCACCATGCAGGACTGGTGCTTTAGCGTCTATGCCACATGCCTTGATAGAAGGTCAGAGCGCTCACTGTTAGATGCTAACGGTGATTGCAGTTAATTCAGGATTAGAGTCGGGAGAATGACAGCAGGATGCATTGAAAAGGGATGTCTAGAGAGACTTAAACCGCTCCTTGTGCACAGGCCTGTCTGAATGCAGCATGCACTTCTGTCACATGGAGCCACAGAGGTGGGACTGGCTTCTAAGGAGGTGACTAGTATTCTGTAGCATTTCTTTTCAAGTTCTCCTTTGCAGAATACCTGCCTCCGGCACATTCTTACAGAGGTGCCAAGTTCTACTAGTTTCAAACCTAGGCTTTCCTTCAAGAACAGTCAGATCACAAAAAGCATCTTTGGAAATGAAGGGATGTTAGATTTGAAGTGAATTTGGATAGTTATTGACATCTTGGTGGTGACCTTTTTAAATGTAAGACTACCAGAATCTATGTTGTCTTTTTTTTTTTTTTAAGCATCTCAGCAAGTCAGACTCTGGTTTGGGGAGCTGTGTCTGCCCACACAACCACCTAGAGCAGCAAGGAAAGCGAAGGTGGATCATAAACAGAAGCGCACACCTGTTGACTGAGTAAAATCGTGTCTCTTGTCTCTTCATCTTTCCCGTGCTTTTCTCTTAACTTTCCTCTAGCCCCTTCTCCCTACAATTTGCTGCTTACAGCTGGTGTTAGTATTTGTGTGAGATGAATTCTCATCAGGACAACCATTTCTTGAACTGAGATGATGAAAACGATGATGTCTTTATTCTTTATCCCCTTCAAAGAAGTTCCTTTTATGTCAAATCAGCTTTGTCAAGCCCTTAAAACATCACGTTCTCATGTGTGAGTTGACACAATCACTAATATTCTGTAATTGAGATAGCAAAAGTGTTTAATAAACAAACGTAGTTTTTCCATATTTGCCTCTATATATATATATATATATATTTTTTTTTTTTTTCCTCCTACCACCTCTTCCTTGCTTGCTTCTTTTTTCCTTCCATGAAAATATTTGGAAAATTGAGCACGTTTTTTATTATAAATAACTTGTTCCTTTAAATCATATAGATAGTATTAGACTCCATGATGACTGGGAAACCTCTAGAAAAAGCTGATGAAATATAGTAACATATGAGAGTGCATTCCTGATTTTGTTTTTGTAACACAGACTCTCATTTGGTTACCCTAGGCAGGCTAGAGTGCCAGGGTGTCAGCCTAGCTCACAGCAACCTCAGACTCCTGGGTTCAAGCAATCCTCCTGCTCCAGCCTCCCAAGTAGCTGGGACTATAGGCACCCACCACAATACCCAGCTAATGTTTTCTACTTTTAGTAGATGGGGTCTCATTCTTGCTCAGGCTGTTCTGGAACCCCTGAGCTCAGGTGATCCTCCCACCTCAGCCTCCCAGAGCGCTAGAAGGATTACAGGCGTGAGCTACCACACCAGGCCAATTTTATATATATATTTTAACACAAACGTTTTCATACTTGTTCCAAAAGTTTGCATTTACCAATGTTGGGGTGATTGAATACGGTGTAGTAGAGATGGTATAAACAGAGGAGAAGAAAATGTTTGGGTTTTTTTTGTTTTTGGTGCCAGGTTCCCTGATCATGAAGGTACATCATAGAAGGTAGTGGTTCCTTAGAAGGGGAACCACTTCTCCCAGTTTTGGGATAACTGTTGAGAAAAATAAGAAAGGGAAGAAACAGAGTGAAGGAGAATATAGCAGTCATTATAGAATAGATAACCTGGAGGAGAATCACTCATACTGGAAATTGCCATCCAAAGTTCGTAAAACTACGAATTTCACATAAAATTTAGATCTTTTGAGTAATAAATAAAAATGAAAGAAAAACAAAGGGTTCTGATTAGTTGATTATCCTATTAAATTACCTAGAAGGGGACGGGTTAGCCCTGTCTGGAGATAAGTTTGCCTCCGCATAAGGTTGGATCCTCTTGCCATTTTGTTGTTCATAATTGTATTGCCTGATCTGTCAGTTAAGAGTTTTGAAAAGTAATAATGATGCATTCCATTTGGAAAATGTATTATACTTGACAGAGTGCTTTCGTGGTACATCATCTGTTTGATCTCATCTGCTGTTGATCTTTGATTGGCATGTGCTGTATTTCAATGAAGTTACTAGACTTTCTACTTCACTCTTTGAAGGAAGACTCATATAAATCTCATATAAATGCAAATTGAAAGTTATCTCTGATGACTGTGAGATAAAAAGAATAAGGCCGAAAGAAAATAATAAACCCAAAAAGGCTGGAAATTCCTGACAAATTGCAACTATTTAAGAAACAGGCAGTTAGAAAAATCATATGTGGATTAAAGAATAGGGCACAGGAAAGTACTTGTATGTCAGTGACAAAAATTCACTATGAATGGGTCTCTGTATTTCTGAGCTAAACAGTCTCACTTGAGTAATTTTTCCTTCAAACTGAAAATGTAAAAGTAAACATTTTAAAAGCTACATATTTTCTCTAGAAATAATGGATAAAAGTTTCCGTTAAGTCTCTATCGGGCGGCACCTGTAGCTCAGTGAGTAGGGCACCGGCCCCATATACCAACGGTGGTGGGTCTGAACCTGGCCAGGGCTAAACTGCAACAAAACAAACAGCCGGACATTGTGGCGGGCACCTGTAGTCCCAGCTACTCAGGAGGCTGAGGCATGAGAATTGCCTAAGCCCAGAAGCTGGAGGTTGCTGTGAGCTGTGACACCAAAGCACTCTACTGAGGGCAGCAAGGTGAGATTCTGTCTCTAAACAAAAAAAGTGATACTCTGTCTAAAAACAAAACAAAAACATAAGTAAGTCTCTGTCATCTTGCTCTCCCCAGTCTGGCAACTTCAGTTAATGGGTGAGTCTGTTGTCTGTACATGTTATAATAGAATAGATAGTCTATACCAACATCAAGAATGTAGGTAAATTTCAAAGCTAATTATCAAGCTTTCCTAATTATTTTTTTAAAGGATTCAAGACAGTAATTAAAGAAAGAGATATTCCAGCCTGAGCAAGAGTGAGATCCCGTCTCTACTAAAAATATAAAAACTAACTGGGTGTTGTGGTGGACTACTATGGTTCCCACAATTGAGGAGGCTGGGGCAAGAGGATAGCTTAAGCCCAAGAGTGTGAGGATGCTGTGAGCTAGGACACCACAGCACTCTACCCAGGGAGATAGAGACTCCATTTCCAAAAAATGAAAACCATTAAAAAAAGGATAGCAATTTGACTCCTTTGAATGAAAACTCTTTTAACCTTCTAGCTTCGGGTAAGGTAACTATTGCCTGAGTAAACATTTATTGTGTGGGTGACAGTGGGGATCTTCCTGAATGTAGGAAAACGATTCAAAATATGTTTAACTCTACAGGCCTTTAGCACTTCTTCCTAGAGTTTTTCAGGCACTGATAGGAACAATAATTGTATCTACTTAAAAATTTGGGAAATAACATTTTAATGACACTTCTAACCCTTTGGACGTCCTGTGTTTGACTATCTCAAACCAAACTTTTGAGGCAGTTTGAATATTACAAGGAACACTTTGTATCTACCACTGTTTTTTCCATTTATTAAATAGTCAATACTTGAAGTAAAATATGCCCATTGGGTCATTGCAGCTATTTAGTCCAGCCTAAGCTAATTTGCTGTGTAAGAATTAATGCACTGTGTAATGAAGCCATTGTTGATAAATTACAAACATACTTAATTGCTTAAGGGTTCAAAATTTACAAATGAGTGGCTATTCTAGGGCATGTTCAAACAGATGAGTAGGGCATTGACAATGTCCTTTTAAATCAGCATAAATGAAATTCATTCATTTTTTGTATTCCTTTTTTAAAATATGGCTTCGGGGGTTAAAATTAATAGGTAGTCTACTGTCTACTATTAGAATATTCACCCCTTTGAGCTTGCTTTATTGATACCCTACCTATGATGAATATAGGCAGTCCCTGGAGTTACACACATCCCAGTGATGTATGACTCACACTTACACATGGAAGCTATTACAGGTAATAGGTAAATGTATATTTTCCCAGCTTACCTACAAATTCAGCTTAAGAACAAATCTACAGAATCTGTCTCATTCATAACCCAGAGACTGCTGTACATATTTTCCACTTTAGAAAACAAATGTTATACCTACAAATACATGATTATTTATACAAAATCACTACTATCAAATTATATGAATTTATCATAAGGAAAGTTAATAGTTGACCTTTTCTCTTTTGTCTTAGCTTCTATACTGAAATTGGACTCAACATTCACAAACTTAGATTCAAACGTTATGGAGGTTATCCTTTGTGGTAGGAATTGTGCAAGTAAATTATTTAATCTCAAAATGTTTTATGTGACATTAGTATGACTTTTTCAGAAATACCATATTTCAGAAAAGATAGAATATTAGGTAATTCTTATAGTCATATAGGTGAAAAGTGGAGCAGTTACTAGCTATGAACACAGGTCTTTTGATTCTTTTCAAATCTCAATTGCTTCTGTGCTCAAAATTACCTGATTTGAGCAGTGCCATTTTCTGCAAACATTGGTACGTGGGCTTTTTTTGGTTTTTCACTTCAAATTCACTAGGAATTCAGAACAATAAAGTCCTGGTATCCTGTTAACTTGTGTAGTATTGGTCAACCCAAAAGCCACACACAGCAATGAAAATATCTGACTTGTACTTCAAGGCGGAAGACCCAAGAATAGGATTTTAGAAATCCTTCACTGACAGGATTTGCTTTACAAACAAAAATACCCAGAAAATTGAGATCAGTCCTGAAAAACAACCTAGAAATCAAAAAAATATTGAGTGAGGAAAAGTGAGAATTAGATCTTATCAAATTATAGATATAGGAGAGAAAGTGAGTTCAAGTTTGTGGTCATAAGTTACTTTATAGTCATCTATCCCAGAGGCTCCCAAATATTTTTCAGTTTTATTCCAAGTAAAATCTTACACTGTATCTTAATATTTAGCAAAGCGCAGTGACATTTATGGGAAAAAATTTAAAATATGTAATCATGACACATTTCATCAACAATAATAATTAGGCCTATCAGATAGATACAAGTGTTTGAATTATTGATTTCCAAGTGACATTTGCCATTTAAATCCAATTTTGTTTTGGATACTCAATGAGTAAATGTGTTTGGTATATAACACATTTGATTGTGTGAATTCCTCTTATTGTATTTGAATTTTTCTTGGAAGTTCAATTCAAGATTTTGCACAACCTTGGACTTAGTTCAGTAATAGAAGGGAATTGGGAGTCTTGGAGGTCAATTTACCTGCCAATAACACAAAGAAGTGCTAGTTGCTCTGAATCTTAGTGACTTACCCTCCTGATGTTTTCCCCACAGGCAGCCCTGACTCTGCAGAATGAAAGCATTCGTTCATTCATTCTCCTAATCCTGCTTCTCTTTCTTCTTTGGCCGTCAAAAAATAACTGCATGTCCGTTCACATCACCATTGATTTTTCCATTACAGGAGCTGCAGAAAAGAGTTCTAAACACGGTGCTGAAGACAAGACTCAGACCATTATTACAGCCATGAAAGAAAGAATGAAGATCAGGGAGAAAAATAGGCCAGAGGTATTTGAAGTAATTCAGGAAATGTTTCAGATTTCTAAAGAAGATTTTGTGCAATACACAAAGGCAGCCAAACAGAGTGTACTGGACGGGACGTCGAAGTGGTCAGCAAAAATAACCATTACAGGTAAAAATAAGTCTTCTTTAAAGTGTTATTCTACCTGGAGACTTTGCTGTGTCTTAAAGTCACTGCTAATAACTATTATAGGTAAAATTAATAGAATTATTTTCTATCTTGTTAATATTGATAGATCTAGATGATATTTCCAATATCTAAAATATATGCTGGATAAATGAAGTCATTTTAATCTGTGTTGTTTTAAACAGAGGCTCTTTCACGGGAAAAACTTTCTGATTTTGAGTATATTCACCAAAATTCTGCAGTTTATAAGAGATTAGGTTTGTTGCTGCCTGCCACTGATAAATTACAAGAGTAGTTAATAATCTCGTCCGTCAGTTTTTTAAAATGAGAAGAATATCATTCTTTTACTCCTCGTTCACTATCCCTTATCCATTTGATCCTTGAGTCAAGGAAACTTGAGTTTAGTGATGTGTAGTAATTTGAACTTCTGAAATTGCTTGTGATATTAACAGCAAGTGACTGTGTATCATGTTTATATTCATTAAGTTTCTTATTTTACGCATTTTGGATTTACAAGGTAAATAAAGATGCTTCTTTTTATTGAGTAGAGTTGATTAATATAGACAGTGAACATGAAAATAAATACATCAGTTTGGATCTTAGACCTTTGGATTATGTTGGGTAACTTTTTGTTTATTGTATATATTCCTCCTCATTCCTTTATACATGTATACAATAATGTCTATGAGTTTGTAGCTACTATTATATATATATACAGTGTTTGTGTGTATATATAGCTACTGTTTATTAGAGGCAAAAACAAATATTGGTTCAAGGAAGACTGTAGTGTTCAGTGTATTTATTCTTTCGTTAAATACTTTTTAAAAGTCCTGCTGATCATTAAGAATTAAAGCAGGCTCAGCGCCTGTAGCTCAGTGGCTGGGGCGCTGGCTACATATACCAGGGCTGGCGGGTTTGAACCCAACCTGGGCCTGCCAGGCAACAATGACAACTGCAACAAGAAAATAACCAGGCGTTGTGGCAGGCACCTGTAATCCCAGCTACTTGGGAGGCTGAGGCAAGAGAATCACTTAAACCCAAGAGTTTGAGGTTGCTGTGAGCTGTGATGCCACAGCACTCTACTGAGGGTGACATAGTGAGATTCTGTCTCAAAATAAAATAAAATAAAATAAAATTTATAAAAAAGAATGAAAGCAATGAGATGTATCTGCAAATCCAGGGAAGAAATGATAGAAAATATTTTCTTCATTATTATTATATTAAAATGTTTATTTTGATTTATTTCAGTGGTTTCTGCACAAGGCTTACAGGCAAAGGACAAAACAGGGTCTAGTGATCCATACGTTACAGTTCAAGTTGGAAAGAACAAAAGAAGGACTAAAACCATTTTTGGAAACTTGAATCCAGTATGGGATGAGAAGTTTTATTTGTGAGTATATAATGTGAAATATGTAAATATATAATGTGAACTATGTAAATAGTTAAATGCTCCCTTAATAATCTTAATTATTTTCATGAGATTAAAATTACTTATGAGATTATTAATAATATATTATTTTTTTTTCATTTTTGGATGCAAGTGAATAAGAATATTCAAAGCCCAAAGATGTGGTGCAACTGGGGGGAATTTGTAGGAGGTAAAAAAATGGTTCCTAACATGGTCTATGACTTGGGATGACCCAACATAGTGAGAAATGTATAGGCTTGATTCAGCAATATAATTACATCTGGAGATTTGTAACGAAAGATAATGGAAAGACTTTGAGTATCATCTGGTCCATCACTTGGGTTAGAGCCACACTTGCACTAGCCTAAACTGGAGAGGTGGTTGATGACAACTTTTATAACCTCTCATTTTTTAGAAAGGCATTTATTTTTAAACCTCTTCTTTCTTTCACCAAAGAACAATAAATCTTTTCTTGTTAAGGTTTTCTTTTTTTCTTTTCTACTACTCTTCTCAGAGAGACAAAGGGGAAAAAAAGGACTTTCAATTACCATTTGGTGGAAATGAAAAACCCTAAGTGAACTTAAAGTCAGTCCTTTTTCTTTAGTCTCTTTGCAAATAGTGTAAATGTCAATCTCATTAACATGTTAAGTAAGTAAACCCAGAACATCCAGCTTATTTGAGAATGGGATCAATAGTGTATAAATAGAGTTTCTTGCATATATGGGCTGATAAAAGAAGTATTAATAAAATAGGTTTGGGACATCAGTTGGGACCATGTAACAGGGGACTATAACATGAGTTAAGGCATTGGGATGGCATCTCCCTTCCACCATATGGGAGAGACTAGAAGTCAGTTGGTAGTCACAAATATACATTCCTCCTGGGGTCAAGCAAATGAATAAAGCAAGGTAAGGGCAAGCAAGGGAAGGGATGGAGACCACAGCAAACGGGGAAACAAGTGACTCTCAGAAGAGGAACAGCTTCCTTTGCTGGGCAATCATCAAGACACAATGCAGCTGGGGCTTCCAGGTTCTCAGGAGAAGCTGGAAATGAGAGAGTTTAAAGACAGCTTTATTGAAATATAATGATCATAACTTAAAATCTACATTCTTACACTTTATAGTTCCCTCTATGAAATCCTCACCATTGAGTAAAGAACACATCCTCAATCCCCCAACAGGTCTTAACGTCCCCATTGAAAATCGTTCCTCCTGACTTTTCCCCCTGCCAAGGCTATCACTGATGTGCTTCTGATACTGGAGAATACTTTTCATTTTTCATTTTCTGGAATTTTATGTAAATAGAATCATGTAGTAGGTTCTCTTCTTTTGTTCTCTCCTTTCCATTTATCACACATAATTGTTCTGAGCTCATCTAAGTTATAGAGTATATCAAGAGTTTATTTCTTTTTATTTCGGGGTAGCATTCCATTATGTTACTATATCACAGGTTTTTTTTTTGTTTTTTCTTTTTAATTTTATTAAATCATTTATGGGGTAAAATGTGCTGATTTTATATACAATTTGGAAGGCTTACATCAAAGTGGTTAACATAGCCTTCACCTCACTTACTTAATTATTGCGTTAAGACATTTATACTTTACACTTAATAGATTTGACATGTACCCTTGCAATATACACCATAGGTGTGGTCCCACGGATTACCTCCCCTCCACCCAACCTCCCACCCCACTGGGCTGTAGTTATCTTTCTATATCACAGTTTTTTAATGTGTTCCCTTCTTGATGGATATTTGGATTGTTTCCAGTTTGAGTCACTGAAAACAAAGCGACCTATACAGGGTATTCATAAAGTTTGTGTGCAACTGAAAAGCACACAACTTCATAGACACCCTGTATATTAAATGAGTGGTTCATATTGAAAGTAACATTCACATGAGAAGCAGAGTTTATATATAGATGTGTATATGAGCATATTCTTTTCTCTTGAATAAATGCCTAGAAGTAGAATAACCAGGTCATATATTAGGAGAATGTTTAATACTTAAGATTTGTTGCCCGAGTGGTTGTACCATTTTATATTTCTACCACAATCTATGGGAATGCCAGGTCAAGCACATATTTCCAATACAGATGGTTCCCAACTTCACAGTGGTTTGATGTTATGAGTTTTTGACTTTAAGATGGGTATGAAGAGATACAACCCCATTGTAAACTGAGGGGTCATTACACCTCATAATGGGGTTGGGGTTAATAGCAAATGCCTGTCACTTTTGTACCATCATAAGTTGAAAAATTGTGAAGTCCATCCATCATAAGTTGGGGACCATCTGCCATGCTGCTGGTGTTAAGTGCATTTTTGACTTACATATTTTCACTGTATAATGGTTTTATCAGGATGTAACCCCATTGTAATTTGGGGAGCATCTGTACATGGTAAGGCCAGCCTTTTAAATTTTAGCCATCTAATTAGTATGTGGTAGTGGTTGTATTTTGTATTCCCTAATGACTATAATTTTGAGTATCTTATATGTGCTTATGTGCTAACCATGTATCTACTTTGGTTAAGCATCTGTTCCACTATTTCACCCATCTGTATTATTTATATATTTTATATTTGTATAAATTTTGTGGCTTTAGGTTTTATATTTAGTTCTATAATACATTCTGTGATTTTTTTATTATGGCGTAAGCTATTGACCCACATACTTTTTTGCATATTAATATATAATTGTTTCTGTGACATTTTTTAAAAGAACTATTTTTTCTCTACTAAATTGCTTTTGTACCATGAAGAGATTTAGTTCTCCACATATGCGTGGCTGTATTTCTAGAATGCTCATTCTGTTCTGTTGATCTATTTATCTGTGTTCTAATACCACATTGTCCTAGTTACTGGAGCTTAATGATGAGTCTTAAAATAAGGTAGAACCTGTTTTCTTTAATTTTAAGAGTTATTTTGAGTCTTTTAGGACCTATCAATTATTTTCACATTAATTTTAGAATCAGTTTATTACTTATTACAAAACAAAAACCTAACGATACCTGATAGAATTTTGATTGGTTCCTATCACTGGCTAAGATTTCTAGTATGATGTGAAATGGGAGTCATAAGAGCAGACATCGTAGCCTTGTTCTCAATTGTAAGTATAAAACATTCCTTTCTTAACTTACTATGATATTAGCTGTAGCTTTATTGTAGATGCCATTTATTCAGTGAAGAAAGCTGTCTTCTACTCCTAGTATGCTGAGAGTTTTAGTTGGAAAAGGATTTTAGATTCTGTGGCATTCTTTTTCTGTTTCTATTGAGATGATCATATGATTTTGATTATCATTTTAAAATAAATTTACTCTAGTGATAGTGCTCCACTGTCTTTGCATTTGCATTGTTTCCTCATTTTTGGTAAGTTTGTCGTCCTCATTTTTGTTCCTCTGTATAAAACCTGTCTCCCCTTCCCCCCATCTGCTGTTAAGATTTTATTTTCTACTTATTTGACAGTTTGATTATGATTTGACACGGTGTAGTTTTCTCACTGTTTCTGGCACACAGTTTTCTTTCAAATTTGGAAAATTTTGGATACTATTCCTTCAATAGCCATATGCCCTCTGCCCCCTTAAAATAAATTTGAAGATTCTACTTGTAAATACATTAGGCTTCTAAAGTTATCCGATAGCTCCCTGATGATCTGTTTTATTTTCTTAATTTCTTTTTTTTCCCTCTTTCTCTTTTTTCTCTGTGTTCCACTTTGGATTATTTCTATTGCTATGTGTTTAAATTCACTAATCTTTTCTTCTATCATATCTAATTTGCCAAAATCCAAGCCACTGTATTTTTCATATTAGATATCTTATTTTCCATATCAAGAAATTCAAATTAGGCCTTTGCATTTTCCCTTTCTCTACTTATTTGAACTGTCATTCAAAAGCCCATCAGGGTGGCTAAATAGTAGAAAGGAGAGCTTTATTGGTGATATCAGTTTGCAAAGTAGGAAGAGACAGTCTTCAGCATGCATTGAAGATACTCTGTCTTCAGTGACAGAGGGAAAGGGAAGATTGGTTGTTATACCTCACAAGGTCTCTATGACATAAGGGAGTCACATATATTCAGCAGGTTTAGAGGAAAAAGCTATAAAAATTTATGAAGGAGCATTTCTAAGCATGTATATAACATACACCCTGTGTTCACTTTGAGGCAGGGTGTTAGCATTAAAATTAGGTGGAATTTAGCCCTTTACATCAAAAAGTGAAGTAGAAGACAAAAAAAGAGTTTATGCTCGGTCTCTATAAGACGACTGAAACTGGCTTGAGGTCTACAGTTGCTTATCAGGAAAGAATATTTATAAGACCAATCTTCTATCCAATCAGAGTTGTCATGGTCTGGGTTGTAAATCAGAGTTAGGAAGAGTCTGACAATTTGCTTGATAGTTTCTACTGTGAGGGGGTTTAGCATGAGTGTGATTTCTTTTAGGTTTAGAAATTTAAGAAGTTCTCTGTCAGATGATCCCTAAACTCTCCACATGGAGGTAACTTTTGTTTTTTCAATCTTAAGGCTCATCTTAGTTGATAAAAGGGTGTCTATTTTGGTCACTCAGATCACAAAGCACTTGCTATATTGCAATACTTATAGTAACTGTTTTGATATCCTTGACTCTGAATTCTAACATTGGTGTCATTCTTGGTCAGGTGTCTTTGATAGATTTTATCTCCATTACACATCAGATTTTTCTGTTCTTTTGTATACCTGGTAATTTCAGATTGAATTCAAGAAATTGCAAATATTATTTTGTTGCTTGGATATTTTCACATCCTGTAAATATTCTTTAAGTTTCATTCTGGACATAGTTAAATTACATGAAAAAACATTTTTGGTTCTTTGGATCTTGCTTTTAAAGTCTGTTAAATGAGAATGAAATATCACACCTATAATCCTAGCTCTCTGGGAAGCTGAGGTGGATGGCTTGCCTGAGCTCAGGAGATTGAGACCAGCCTAAGGTGGAGCGAGACCCCCATCTCTAAAACTAGC